GTACTCCTGGAACTGAACAATTGCCAAGGTCCTGCAGCACCTCCTGATGGAGGAATCCTCCAAGATACCAAGAAGGGAAAAGGAGAAGACATGGACAGTCATAGAGAGAAATAATGAAAAGGTCAGAAGAAAGAATGCAAAAGAGCTCTTGAGATACCTGAAAAGAGAAAGTACTGTGGAAGAGCTATCATTGCTTGGGACTGAGCAGGGATAACAGTCAGGGGCAAAAACAAATCTCTCAGACCCTGGAAAAGAAGCTGAGCCATTCCCTAGCAATGCTGGAGGAGAAACTTCTGGGGTGACAGAGAGAGGCCCAAAGCTGCAGACAGACTCAACTAAGTATCCAAGGGAACTTAATGCTCTCTGGCCTGCCTGTAGCAGCCTTTGAAAAGACAAACCTCTGCTTTGGCTGACTGGACATGTACCTTTTAACAATGCAATTGCCAATGGCAAGGCCAGCTAAGCCACATGGCAGCCTGAACAAACCAGAGACACTCCTTGGTGTGCACCTGAGACACAGCAAGTCTTCTGATAGATGCAACCCAATTTTTACATGCTTCTGTCAGCTAGGAGACAGTGGGCTGTGAACAGAAGAAGAGATGAGAAGGGGGTGACGCATGAGAGGCCTCCCAGATGAAGCCATCAGCATCCTGGAAAGATTTTAGAGAAGAGGAAGTATTTTATCCTCTTTTGGTAACTGTTTCTGGCCAGGCAGCCCTGCTCCAGCATGGTAAAACAGAAGTAAAAGAAACTGAATTCCCAAACCTATTAGCCTCCCTGACGTGTCAGCTCCATTTCCCCACTGCTCTCCCTAAAGCCTTTGCAGGCATATGATGTCAAGCTCTCCACAAAAAACCACAGGGGCTTGCTCAAGTTCTGTGGTTGATGTAATATTGGTGCAGCTAATTTAGCTTCCTCCCCTTGGTGTGCAGTCAGGGTGCTGCTGGTGCATTGTGGCTCAGCTGCAAGCCAGGCAGACACTGGCTGTGGGGAAGGGGTTGTGTCTGCCCAGCCATGGCAGAGGCCAAAACAGAAAGCCAAGTTGCTGATATGAACTTTATAAAGGAAATTATCAGAGATGAAAGCCAAACTTGGTTTAGCCTCTGTCCTAAGCTCTCCCCACACTCCTTGAGGCTAGGTTATGTTTATATGATATTATATTACTTAGCAACAAGGTGGAGTACACAAGCCCCAGTAAGACTTGTAAATACATATGCAACTACACTATAGACATACCAAGATATGTCAATACCGGATCAACAATTTACTTCCTATAGCCACATGATTACTGTGAAAATTTATTTTGAATTGATTCTTTTCAGTTAGCATGTAATAACATCCTTTCTCCTCCAGCCTCTGCATTTCAAGTAAAAGTAGAATACTTTCCCTAAACGGACATACAAATGAATCTCTGCCTGGTCTTCCTTCTGCTGGATAGTAATTATCTATCCAATTACATGTCTTCATTCTCTGTACTCTCTAATGCAAAGAAAAGGTGCTTATCCAGATTAAAGATCTTCAAACATCTCCAAAACCAGGTCTATTGATTACTGTTTCTACAGGCGCAGAATAAAAGGCACTGTAGTCTGAAAGTAAAGTGGTAAAAGTTCTTGCTCTATAATAAAGGAATTACAGGAGTTTAAACAACAGCCATATTTTCTTCCTTTATGGCCTTGTATTTCTCATTTTCTGCCACAAAAATAATAAAAGAATCCCTATAGTCCAGCTATCACAGAATCACAGAATAATGAGGTTGGCAGAGACCTCTGAGATCATCAAGTCCAACCTATGCCCTAACACCACAACTAGGCTATAGCACCAAGAGCCAAGTCCAGTCTTTTTTTAAACATATCCAGAGATGGTGATTCTACCACCTCCCTAGGAAGACAATTCCAGTATTTTATTATTCTTTCAGTGAAAAAATTTTTCCTAATATCCAACCTATACCTTCCCTGATGTAGCTTGAGACTGTGTCCTCTTGTTCTGCCAGTTGCTGCCCCGTGGAAGAGATCACCCCCACCTGCCTACAGCCTCCCTTCAGGAAGCTGTAGAGAGCAATAAGGTCACCTCTAAGCCTCCTCTTCTCCAGGCTAAACAACCCCAACTGCCTCAAACGTTCCTCATAGGGTTTGTGTTCCAAGCCCCTCACCAGCCTCATTGCCCTCCTCTGGATGTGCTCAAGCACCTCAATGTCCTTCCTGATATGTGTATGGCTTCATCTTGTTGATCTACATGATAGTTTGTACCTTTTTCCAAGGGCCTTAACAGAAGAGATATTGCTTTCTGTTCTGTAATTTCGCCATAGGCATCATCCACAGCTGATCTTGCTAGATGGGAAAGATGTATCGGGTGTCTGTTATTGTTTTGTCATGATGAATTCCAGGAATAAATTAGGTTGTTGTATGTTTTTAATTATATTAAATCTCTACTGCAAAGATATAGAGATTTTAAATGAGATTAAGTCTGCAAGATCCTGAGTTCCTGTAGATGACTCTACCACGTGTGCATCTCATGTTTGAAGATGGAGATGTTTGACATACTCGCAAATGTTGTACTGATATAGGCTGATTAACAAAATTATTTTGTGACTTCTTCTTGTACACTTACTAAAACATAATTGTTCACATTAGAAAGAATGATGTTATGCTTAAAATTATTAAGGTAGTGTTAAAACTTGTTCTCTGGTCAGGGCATTAGTTTATCTATCATAATCCCTGTCTGAATTAGCCATGCTAACAACTGTCCCTCTGGAGCAACTTCCTTAAGCATTTTTCAAAACTCAGGAACTGACAAAGTTTAAAATAGCAGCCATCATTAGTCAAAAAGAAAATAATTTCAACTAAGTAAGCAGATGCTGTAATACTACTGGCACAAAAGTAGCAGTGGACCAAACAAAATTACCTTGAGAAAATGAGCTATGAGCCACAAGATGCCTGGCTGTAAATACTGGCAGCAACGTTTCAGTAAGGTGACCTTTCTCATACCCAGTTTCATGCTGTGTCATTTGTCTGAATTGTAGGAAGGGAAGTGCTTCTATGCTCAGAACAGTTTAAGAAGGACAGATCTACGCCCTAACACATACAAAATGCTTTGTCAATTGTACTGTTCAATGTTGGGCTACAATCCCATTATGGGTACAGCTGGATTGATAATAAAACATAAAACTGTTTTAGCATGCATTTTTTCACAAATGCATGTGTCCAGAATAGTATTCTAAAATACAAGTACCTTCTACCTTCTAATACTAGGTGACAGACTAGGTATTTTGAGATGGTATCAGAGTTGTAAAGTTATTTTTTCTTTTCAACAGACCCAAATCTGACATGCCAAAGGTCTATTAATGCTGCTAAGCAATCTCTCCTTAAAAATACCCTCCAAAAGAAAACAAATAATAATTATATCTCCTGGAAAAATAGTCATGGATTATTCTGAAGTATAGAGCAAAAAACCAACAACTTTCCCTGGTTTAATCTGCACTGCCAAGCTGCTTCCTTGTCACACTGCTTCCAGAAATTTCTGTACACCAGGACTGACTTCATCTAAAGGACCTGATATGCTAATTGTATGCCATCATATGAAGAGAAGCATCTTTTGCCAATCTAAGGATATAATTCTACTCCAGAAGCACAAACCTTACATTGTGGATGACGTGAAATAAGTGTTATGCTTCCATACGGAAGATGAATGAAATAGCCAACAGTGAGAGCCACTGTGGTACTGCTTCAGGAGGCAGCATCAGATCAGCCAGTCCCTGGCATGTAACACTGGCTCTGGAGGGTTGCAGCAGGCAGTAAAGTCAGTTTTCACCTACTTCCCCATGTGTATTTAAAATAAGATTATGTTAGGTCTCAATTAAGCAAATGAAAACATGCAGCCCCAGATAAAGGTCTGAATATCTATCATTACATCTCCTGTTTAGGTACAGCCATCACAGACATGTTGGCCATCTCAGTGGAGGTGAGAAGGGGGAAAGCTGGATTCACATTTCAAGCAAAACAAGTTAAAACCTAAGTTTCTGTTGTGATTAAATAATTTTGTGAATTGAAAACATCTGCTTAAGAGCCCCACTGAGATAAAAAGAGGAGGGGGCCCTGCTCATTCCCTCCCTCCTCATAGGTCTCTGAGGGCTGCCAGAGGCAGGGCAAAAGACCACTCTCCTCCTCCAGATGACCACACACACAGAGAGTACAAAACATGAAAACCTGTGTATGAGACAGATTTTCCCCGTGGTTCATTGGCAACTACAGAAAAATGAATACTTCTCTAACTAAGGCTGTCCAGGGTTGGTTTACTAAAAATCATTTAATCTCTGTAAAATCTATGAGTTTAAGAAGAAACACCAAAACTCTAGAACAAATTCGTCTTTTCAGGCAAAGCACAGCTGATCCTGAACAGTGAAAGGACAAGCTCACTGGGCTGTGTAACTGCAGCTGAACAATAAGCTGGCTAAAGGAAAGGTTTATCTCAAGGTATCACTTGTCAAGCTCAGCTTTGAAGGAGGCTGCTTTGCATGAAATGCTGGAGGAACTGGGTGTGTGACTATAACCAGTTCTTAGCCCTAGGGTGTTTTTTACTCTCACTAAGCATGAAACCTCTGAGACACTAAGGAAACTGCCTTCAGTCCATGGAAAAATTACTAAAGTAGCAAGAGGGAGATAGACTGCCTTAATATGAGTATTAACTTTGTTCTCTGCTGGTAACAAAGAAGCGAAGTTTTTATAACTGAAAGAAATTCAAACAGAGGAAAAAAATGAACAGCAAACAAAAGCAATACTGGTCAGTTCATTTTGGCACACATTATCCTGCAATTCTGCTGCCAATGTCAATGTATTACATGCTGTGTAGCTATAAATTTCATTTATGTTTGAATAAACACCAGCATATAGAATCACTTTGGGTCTGCCTAATGCAGTCTGTCTGCAGCCAGGCCAGAATTGCTACATTTCTTCATCTGAATCACCCCAAAATTAAAAGTTTCATTGCTCTCAAAGTGCACATACCTGCAATCCCTTGTAGCAGCCCACAGACATTAAAAATGCTTTTCTTCATTATACTCTGCACACACATAGTAAAGACAGACACAAATGCCACGGTGCAGAGAATCATGATTCCCATGGCTAGGAAAATAGCGGTTGCCTGCCAGAACCCACTGGCAATCTCACTGAAGTTTTCAGCATAAGGACCACAAAGCGTGTCTCGTCGAGAGAACTGCATGTGGGAGATCCTGGTGCAGCGGCCGTAGATGCCCAGCGTTGGACGGTAGGGCTCCTGAGGTCCCCCTGTTCTGTTGTCCAACTCGTCGGAGCTTGAAGGCTTTGCTTTGCCAATCAGCCAGTCTGCACTCATGAAGGCAATGAGCTCTGCAAAAGCCACCACAATACTCAGCAGAGTCCATAGCATCGACCGACATGTTACAATGACATGACACATATTGATGTCCAGTGCTTGTGATCAGTGCAGCACACTTAAAATCCAGACACAAGGGAGAAAAAATTGAATTAAAAAAGGAAAACGACCCTAAGAAAATCACTGCAGCTGCTCTGCCTACTTTCTCAACTCTCTCACAACAGTCAAGATGAAGCTTCTCAGGAGAAAAAGTGAACAGACTCAAGTTTTGTAAGCGGTGCAATCATTTGCTCTCTCTGTTCAGTTCCTCGTTTTTCTTTCTGGGATGCTGAGGTCTGAAGTATGCGTTTCTTTCTTAACATTCATACTGGCACATGACACTGCAGGCTGGTGGGGGAAGCTACAAGGACTGCCCACTGTTTGACATCATACACCTACAAGAAAAGAGAAAACACATCAGCAGTGAGAAATAAGTCGTTTCCACCCCCACAACAAACCAAGATCTGGCACAGATTCACATCAACATACAAAGCTCTAACAAGAACTGGTCAAACAGAGCCTGCTGAAAATCTCCCTGATTTCTTGCAGGGGAGTAATTATCTCCCTCCCGCTGCTGCCAATACTTGCAATATCTGCTGTGCCCTATCCCATGGTAGGTGTTTGTCAAACACTTTGCAAGCAAAGGTCTCAGTAACACCCAGCGGTCCCACCCACTCCTACCACCACACCCCCATCATCTTCTTCTGGTCCAAATTACCAAGGGTGCTGGCAGTCACCCAGAAAAATGTTTGGACATGTTCAAGCAGTTTCACAGATGTGCAGCTCCTGCCTTCACTTTGGGGAGGCAGTACAGCCCAACTTTGGGACAGAGGCTGAGCACGGCTCCACGTGCCATGGGCACCTAGGTGCAAGGGGCAATGAAGAAGCTTGTTCCAGTGTTCTGGGTTTCTGCTGACTGCAGCTGAGTCAACCCCGCCTCAAGAGGAGGTGAACAAGATTACAGTTGCAGACAACTCACCCTGTGATCTGGTGACCCCTTTGAAGCCTGGATTTTGCAAGGAGTGGTGCCGCCCTGGGTCTAGGATCGAGGCTGGCACCAGTGTTTCAGGAAAACAATCTGCCTGCAGGTATGTTCACACACCTCATCTTGAACTGCTGCCAGAACTGGCAGCCTCTGGTGAGTAATGCCACTGTAAACAGGAATCTATGGAAAAGCAACCTGTCACTGCTAAGGGGCCAAAAGCCCAGTCAGAAGGGTTGCCAGTTAGCCTTTAGCTTCCCAACTCCCCTCAATTCCCCTCCTCCACAGCCCAGAGTATGCTGCGACTGCAGCAAAATGTTCCCCAGGGCTTTCCCCAGGCCATTATACTGCCTTTCAACAGTGGCTGATGACATTCCCAGAGTTACACTTATCTTAGTACAAGAGGCAGAGATCACTATACTTCCAGCTCCTATCCAAATATCGGCCTCAAAATAACAAACAGGTCATTGCACACGCCTCTGCTCTTGAACTGAAACAGTGCTGCCTGAAAGCAAGGGTCGGAGCAGGAAATGCCCTCATGTTACCCCCTCCAGGATGAGAATGTAGCACTTTGAAGTTTTCTTCACCAAACCCCAAATACTGACATTGAACTGGAGGCAAAAGAGAAGAACCAGATGTGGACCTCACTGCTGCGCTGCTGCAGTCACTAGATGCCAGAAAAACAGGCATCCCCAATATTTTTTTAAGGTTTGTCATGGGGTTGGTATTTAGTTTCTTAGGAGTTCTGAGTCAGGTTGTTGAATATTTGTCCCACTGAATGCAAAATGAAACACACACATGCAGCTTCACACATTCAGAATTTCACCCAGAAATCTCTACCCCCTCCTACATTAGATATAGTGAATCATCTGCAAGATTTAATCCAGCAATTTCTACTCACTCCCATATTAGTGTCAGTGAATTGTCTAGATCTGCAGATTCCTTTGGTAAAAGAGGCTTAAAGCTGATGTGCCAACAACAGAATTTGTCTTCTGTAGTTTACCGTTATGGCACTGCCTTAAAAAAGGGCCTTTAGACATAGAGAGCACTTCCACTAATTTTCTCTTTTGTGGGGGGAGAGCATTAAGTTTTCAAATAACCTGACAGGCTAATGATTTGAATACACCCTTTGTAATAACAGAGAGCTGAAGTGTCAGCCTGCCAAAGAAAGTTAACTTGCTCAGTATTTCTACTTAAAATAATGATTGGAATGCAGGAAATGTCCACTACAAACCTATATTATTCTGATGTCACCTGTACGATTAGGAAGAATTTAATTGAAAATGCCTTTATTTTTTTAAAATATGCTCCAAAAAGCTCTAAAACCTGTATTTCTCCACAATAACTGCACCCACATGAACTCATCTTTGTAATTCCGGGATTTTCAGTGAGGTGGAAGGGACGTAAGACCTGAACACCCATAATGGCTGTTACTGTTGACTCTGTACCACAGGATATAAAACACCATTTATTGAACAAAGATGAAAACAAAGTTCATATTTGTTTAGGTAGGTGGATATTCTAAGTGAACACTGGCAGCCATAAAAATATATCACTGATAACAAATATGGGATACCTACTAGAAGAAAAGACTGAATCATGGGGCTCTTTCCCAACTGAAATGTAAGCACAATAAATTGCAGCAAAATTTTGTGACAGTATCTCCAGAAGAGTCACTACATGAACAAAATAGCCCGTCTAAAGCTGACATGGAGGTCATGTCAAATCTCAGGAGTTCACTTTGCTATTGTGCAAATAAAGGAAAATTTGCAGCATCTAAAAGTGAGACAGTAGATGTCATTGAGAACTACAATTCAATTGAAAATACTTTGGTTTGGTTTCTCCTAGGCAATGAGTACTTTATTATGGTGTGAAAAATACCAAGAGTCAATACACACACCAGTGTGTCCTCATCCTTGGGAGAACTTCTGCATAAGGTTTTCTGTGCACTAGTGACGTGCTCAAAGGAGAGCACCACTCACCTGCAAGTCCTTTTTGTCAGATAGACAAAAAAACATTTAAAGTAGGACGGTGAGCACAGAGGATGGGCAGAGAGGCATTTCTTTCTGAGACTTAGTAATGAAAGATTGCAGATGAAGTACTAAAGACAAGTTCCAGCTCAGTCATGTTTAGGTAGTCAACCTTTTCCCTGTTTTGACTTTCCCAATTAACCTAATAATCTCTCATGCAGCTTCAACAATATGTTTGTGCTATACATGGAAGCCTTTCCAGCTTCCATGTATGCTGTGCTACACCACTGTACTTTATAAAGCTTCACTCTGCTCACCTCCTACTTTTTTTTTTTCTCCATTTTTGCTCAGCAGAAACTCAAACCAGGCCCTTGCAAGGCTGAAACCTAGCTGTTTATTCTTCCTCTCAGTTTCCCATCCCCAACAAGTTTTTTCCATGAAAGAGCCGTATGGTCTTCACAGCATGCCACTCAGCATCCACTTCTGACTGACTGTCAAAATATTTGCTTTGACAACACAAATTCAAAATACACAATGGTTCTTTAACCCTTTTGGTATTAACTCATTCAAAGTAATTCTTGCTGAAGAAGCAGATTACAAGAAGTAGCCTCACCTCTTAGTCATTTGGGCCTCTCCCTATTTTTACTACTGCATTCAATCACATTGGTGTGGAAGGAGGCCATTCATGCTGGGAAACAGCCCTGCACAGCAAGTGCCCACATGAGCCACACACCACAGCAGCATGAGGGCCTTGGCAGTGCCATTCTGGCCCACCACATAACCCACATTCCTTGTCTGGACAGCACAGCTCTTAGATGTGTCAAAACTAAACCTTCAGCCTCACTGACCGTAGCTACCATGCTCATAGTCATGCTCTGCATTAAGTGAAGTCTAACACAGTGAAAAGATGTCAACGAGAACATCAGATTCTTAAGGTATCCAAAGAGAATAAGAGTTCTCAAATGTAAAATTATTTTGGTTATTTTAATCTAACAAATCAAGCCAACTTAAAACATTGCTAAAACTTTCTTTTCAGATTCAATCTTGACAACCAGATACACTGCTTCCAGTCATACTTTCACATCTCTAGCTAGGACTATTCAACTGTTGCCTTTTACTATACAATATGTCTATGTTCAAAGTATATAAATAACATATATTTTTTTCTGAATGAGATAAAGAAACAAAATTGCCTCTATTTTACTTACACTGCCAAAGCCAGAAAGTGAGAAGTGTATCCAAATTATAATATTTTAATTAAGGTTTTGGTTTTGAAGATGTTGAGCTTCAGAGTTTTGCTTTGCCATACCAGGTAGATAGGAAGGAACAGCTGCGAAGTACAAATCTGAGGCTGTTTATTTTAAAAAGGTGTCTGACAAATAGTGTACAAGAGAACCACTAGTACCTTGCAGAACAATGTTGTGGCTAGTCCTTCATGCTCCCCTTATGATTTAACTGAAGTCCAAGGCTTGGACTGCAATACAGCTTTTGCCCTTTCCAGCCTGGTTCTGTCAGCTCAGGAGTGAGAATAAATCATTTTTAGATAAGCTTTTGGCTTGGCTTAAGCAAACAGTTGAATGGAAGGCCACACAGACTGCTGAAGCCATCCCATTTTATAAAAGAAATCCAAGCACAATTAGACATTTTCTTCTAAAGTTTGCTGGGGTCCAAATTACAACCACACAGAGGAATTTCTAAATCTTGTTTACCAGACACAAGCTTGAGCATCTCACAACACAAAACGTGCAAATCTTGGACGCCTGGGTTCTGCTTTCTCTGAAATGTTTTTCATTAGCAGTTATAAACTCTCTGAATATGCTTTGAACTACAAGAGTGGAAGTGGCTCCTATTTGTGTTATGTTTACTCACTATTTAAAACAAATAGAGAGTCTCACAGATTAAGACTCAATTGCCTCAAGCTGACCCACCCAGGTTGACATGAGCTTCCACTTTAAAAAGCTTCCATCATTAGGTGTTATTGGACAAGCAAACTGTTCAATTGTGAGCTCACCCTGCCTGGTGGAGTGAGGCAGCCATCAAACCGCCAAGGTGAGAGGGACTGCACTTAAGACAATGTAGCATGAGCACTAGAGATTGTTCATTTCCTGGATAAGTGATAAATGTTGGTAAATAAACTTCTCCTCCCACTCGGTCCTTGCAGCATTCTTACAGGAATTGCTGTTCAGAAGGAGATAGCAGGTTTCTGCCAACTTCCCTGTAGTCTTCAAAGCAGCAGACCAGACAACAAGCAGCATTTGTGAGGAGATAGAAAGGTGCACCTCTGCATTTCTACCCCACACACTTAGAGGTGACTTGTAAATGTAAAAAGAAGTACATTAATCACACTCCCGTCACAAGAGAACAGTGACAAGGATTAGTACTTCAGGAAAGACCAGTTGTCCCAAATGGTTTGGTGTAGGCTCTCTCTGCAGACCACAAGGAG